TGTGTGCACTGTTTGCCCTGGAAGCTTCAGTGCGACAAAGAGAGCCTGAGAGATGGGAGTGTGTCATCTGAAGTGGGAGGAGGATAGATGGTGATAGTAGTAGTAGTTTTTAAATAACACAAAGACTGTAAATGTATTATTTCTAAATAGACAACACAAATTGAACCAAACTAATTTTATGTTTATGTGATTTTTTTGTTACTGACCCCGAGACATGTCCTTACATAGCTATTTCAGCTGTAAATAACTTAATTATGCATGTCAGGGGGAGGAGAAGTCATGTGTAAAATTGCACAAATCAGAGTCAGTACTTATCTTGTGAGCAAGTTGTAAGATAGGATTCATACACATTCAGGTAATGAGCAGACAAGACTAGCCCATTGTGCTCCTACACATTCTTAGATATAACAAAGTTATAGGAAGTGCTTAAGTTACAGTCTGAGGGCTTTTCCTGAGGCCTGTGCTGTTGTAGCACAAATCTAGACCAATGACAGGACAGATAAGTCTGTGAGTTTTTTCATACCACTTGGCATAGACATGTTTTGGATTCCTGTCATGGATTACTCACTGTCTCTTCTTATAAATACTGACTTCAGATCAATCTTTAAAATGCAACACGCATGGACTTGTAGGAGAGTAGACATAAACATTCCATGGAATTTCAAGAAATCATGTAGTTAAATAAAAATCTACCCTCTGCCCACATTGGCTACCTATAACTAATTTTATAGCAATTAACTCAGTGCATTAACATCAGACTGAAAATACATACAATACATGTGAAGACTGGTGAACACAAGCGACTCCCTGTGCTTATTTTTTAGTTTAGTCAGTGTGATAAGGAAAAAAAATGTTTTTTCTGTTTGCAGGCATATCATGACTGAACTAATTGAAACAGAAAGGCTGTATGTTGAGGAGCTGCAAAGCATCATGGAGGTATAGTATGTCAAGTGACTGAGATCTTTGTATCCATTTTACATGGTTGTGGCTTATTTGCATCCAAAAAGCTGCCGACCTGAACTGCTTTCTTGGAATTGCACCTGTTTTACATCTTGAGAACAAAGCTACTACAGTAAACAGTCCTTAAATCTTCTAATCATCTCTCAGAATTGTTATAGAATTGTAAAAAGTTCTTTAATTGTTAAAAGATCCTTCTAGGTAGACACAGTTTACCTATTGTTTTCATACACATTGGATCTAGACTGACATTCTCTCAGTTTCCTGTCACTGCAAAAGTAGTGCAAAGAAAATGTAAGCAAAGCAATGCAGAAGTGACTACAGCCTTGTACAATGCTGTGGTATGTAATGCAGTAAATGTAATTCGTTTCTCAATCAAAAAAAGAAAAGGATCAGTGCAAAAGTATTTTTTTTTAGTGTATTTGTTCTTTTTATACTAATGTCTCTGAAGTGAGACTGACTGATTTTTACATTTCGCTGTTGTTTCTTTATTATTTCATTTTTTGACCCTCCCTCTCACCCTGATTCCCAGGGTTATTTTGCAGAGCTGAATAACTCTGAGCTTAGCCACCTCATGCCACCATCACTGGAGAACAAAAGAGATGTGCTGTTTGGAAACCTGCCGGAGATATATGAATTTCACAACAAGTAGGTGGAATTTACTTTATTTTGCCATTGGCCTCGACATATACACAACTATAACTTGGAAACACTGATGT